AGACGGGACTTTTTTTCTTACACCTACTGTACGGTAGTCTTAGTTTATTGAAATGATGAAAATGATAAAAAGACAGTTAGTCTTTATCTGTGAAGGCCAAACTCTATTCATTTTCTAATAGAGCGCCCCTACCTCTCATAGTAGTAGTACCCATTATGCACAGCCACCGGATTTACACACATGACCTCTACTGGATTTACTCTTCTAAGGTTAACTGCCAGACGACAACATAGTTTCTAGCCCCCGAGGGGGCATAGAGACAAACAACTGATTGTACTGATGATAATTCTTATAAGTACAGTACACCTAATAAAACTAATAAATTGAGGTATTGCAAGTCATAAAATCCATCATTCTTTCCTATTTAGTTATACCCCTAGATACAAATGCGAGCCATAATTGAAGGTCATTACTATTCGTAAGCATTATGCCTTACTGTGTTGAAGTTGCAACATTGATAGTCATATGAAGGTGTCATTCCTCTCTCTGGATCTATATTTAGCTTCTACCTGGCCTAGCTATTATCAGATTAACTTCATTAATCATACATGGCCAGGCTATTATCAGATTTAAGGAATAAATATCTGACAGATCCTGACATATTTCATAATTCAAGAGATCTGAGGGTTTCATTTTTAATATGGTAGTTTCTACTTTTCACATAATCAACAATACCTTTATGGGGTATTTAAGAATTCCACTATTTTAATAAATTAAGTTTTTATGTGTTTTTGCTAGATGAACTAAAACATATCAGACCAAGGTAATGCTATATTTTTGCACAGCTATATTTATATTTTGGCAAATAAAATTGTAACACCTGATACTAATGAAGGTTTATTTGAAAAACCACATGTTTATATGTTGAAAAATGATTTGGACTAAATAAATAAACACATCAAAATAAGTTGACAGCCATGGTTTGAATTAACGCTATAATTTTGTTACAACTATATTTATATTAATGCTAATGAAATTATAACACCTGACACTATTGAAACTTGATCCAAACTACTATACACTATATTCAATTTAATTCAATCTTTTATTACGGACACATCCTTCTTGTCATGCTTTATTCTTCTCAAAATGACAATTTGTACATTTAAGAGTGCATTTTTGGAAGTAGCCTACATGTATTTACCTAGTAAACAAGTAAAATAAATCTTGGACTTGTGACAGTCTGATAAAACAAAGATATAAAGAAAAATGTGAATAATTCTTGACACTATAAAAAAAAAGTTAGTATAAACAATCTCTCAATATCATCCAAAAAGGAACCAAGAAGGGACAATAAACTAGAATTTTTGTAATTTCTGATCTAACATACTTTTTATCTATCTTTTATCAATTTTATCCATTTCTTTAAGTTAAAGATTTAAGTTTTTTTCTTTTTTTGAATATAATTTTCGTAATTTCAGTTTTTTTTTTAATTCTTGTATTTTTTGTATTTACAATTTATATTGAAATCATTAATCAGCCTTTGGCTGCTATATTGGATGTATGTCTTTTTACACAAAAAATACCAGCAATCAACATGCAACTTCCATGCTGAAGAGTATGCTATTCTAAAGTAGGAATAAAGTTGAAGATAGTGGTTAAGTGTTTGCCTTCTGGTCTTAGTATCTATGGTTCAAGTCCTGTGTACACACTTCAGGTATTATACTAGGAAGGGGAAATAGAGCTGACTGATAAGTATCCGAAGGCACTACTGATAAGTAGGCCTAGCAAAGAATTGACTATCACACTAATACTGCTTGTAGTGCGTGCAATAATGCCAAGTAGACAGGGTGTCCAGGAAGATTAGCTGAGTAAATAACTACTGTAGAAGAGGAATTCAGACGTAAAGCCCAAGTTCATACTTTAATATCATGAGATTGCTGAAAATATCATTAATGATCTTATTACATTAAAGGCACAGTGTGTGTTGGCAACCTTTGTACAAGTTCTTATGATACCTGTGTAGACATCATGTTGAGGCATAAACCGCAATCACTTTTAACAAGTTGAAACAGGCTTGATTATCTGTTTACATTATGTTGGACCTTCCAGCAAACTTTCAATTTTTGATACTGAAATTTATGATTTGTTGAAACATCTTTGTGTATTTTACTCTCATTAATTTTTCTATGGCCATTGAAATTATGGACAGCTTTTTGAGCGTAACCTATGATTCGTAGGTACCCTAGATAATTTGCTAAAGTCAGTTTTTACCAATAGTAGACCTGTAAGCTTGAATTTTCTTAAGAAGTTAATCATTTTCTGGGATAGCAATTTTTTAACCAGTATTTGCTGTCAGCTTGACTCATCATAAGCAATATATGGAGATTGTAAAATTTTCCCAAGGTTTAACCTGGAAATTCAATCATAGTACATATTATTGACGGAAGGGTATAGGAAGTTACAATGTTGCAATGTTATATACTGATAAATATTAACAGGGAAATATTGTTAAAAACAATGCATTTCCAGTTTCTTAAATATTTACATAATTACGTAGTACCGACACTTTCATCACCTTGATTTTCAGATGCAGGATGGCTCTGTGGTCGAAATTAAAAAACTGGATACTATGAAAAAAATCCCATGAATTCTTTTTGTAACTCTACATTGTGTTATGACAGTGAAAGGGACCGTATCTTATAAGCCAGTGATGCTATCAGCTATATCATCAAAATATATCATTTTCCGGCTGATTTTTATAGAAACTCCACCTAGGCACCCCTGCTCTAGCATTGTTTACACAAGAATGTGGCTTTTTTCCAAGTGTAGCTCGCTGTATCTAGTTGCGTAAGGTATTGACATGGGAAGAGGGAAAATAATGGATTAAGTGGGGCGCTGATATGATGCAATGCAATGCCTAACCATTTGCGGCACCAGCACTCTCAGGGCCATGTATTCTGTTGAAAACACTGCTTTGAAAACTAATTTTTGAGTCTGAATGTGCCATTTCCCACCCGCTGCTGGTCTCAACAGATTGTAACTGGCCCCCAGCTTAATAAGGTTAAATCCCTGGGCTGTATGCCTTTCATGTTATGTTTATGGTTTAGTTTAATTTTTATTTTTACATTTTCTTTTACTATATTATGATGAGGGTCACAATTGATCAGCTCTGGCTGCATGAACCACCATAACAAAATATTTTAAAATCATGTTTTAAAAAAATCAAGAAATCAGATTTCATTCTATGAATATAGTACAGAACACAAGTTGAAGCATTTAAAAAAATCTGATGAAAAAACTTCTTTTCATGAGGCATTGACAAGGTGATATGTACTCAACATATTACATGGGGTTACTCGTTAAAAGCATCAATATTATGATGTCACAACTAATGTCGATTTCACACCAAGAAATGTAGCGCTCTCTATTAATGGTCATGACCTTTGGTTGTGCACTATATCCTGTACTTGATAGCCCAATTCCTGTTCCTTTTAGATGTTGTACACTTGTTACTTATAGCAAGGTGCCCAGTGGCTTACAAACAGTACCTACCTTCAATGATTGTTTTCCTAGCTAAGGACGCACTTTTCCTTTTGAAGCCTTTAGCCAAATATTTTGAAACCCGAGAGATATAAGGAATTTTGACCTTATTTTTGTATGTTTTATAAAGATGATATTGCATGGCAAGCTTGGGAACCTTGTATTTTTTTATTTCAAGTAAATTTCTACAGTAGCAAAGATACTGGGAGAAGCTGCGACAAGGGTAGACTAGGGTAACAAAATTAAAAAATATAATTATCTTTGATAAATACATAACAAGTAACTAAGGAGGAAAATATAGTTGTTATAATATATGAATAACCTATCACTTATGAATAAAATATTGAGTGCAATAATTCTTGATGACCATAAGCAATACATATGTCGTCATGGTGAAATTTCAGAATATTCCTAAAATTCCAAGGACATTGAATCATCCAGCCAAATTAGTGTATGCATAGCCACACATTATCCAATATGGTTGTTATACTGTAAATCATAGCAAAAATTTGGTGTTTTCCTAGAAGTACTGTAAAACAGGATTCCACAGATGCCTTCATGATCATAACATTGAAAGAGTTCTACAGACCCATATTTTCAAGGTGGGCATGAAAATAATGAAGGTATTCTTTCTTTTTTCTATACTGCTTGTATTTACATTGCCTTGCTTAATTTAGAATTTCTTAAATGCAAGTATTGATATGAGAGAGGGTGAATGATGGCGGTACAATGGGGAAAGTGAGGGCAACACTGAAATTGAAATTTGTTTGGTTTCTGATGACAGTTGAACAAGTTTCTTTTCAAAGTTTTACCAGACAAGATGTTTTCAGTTTAAACTGGCATGCAGACAAAACTAAAATTACTCTGATCAGTGTCTATTTAGAAATTTATTTTCATTGAAAAAAACATTATTTAAGGGGTTTTCAAAATTTTACTAGATTAAATCTTTATTCAACAGAAATATAAAAATTAATCAAATCACATTTCATATCATTTTATATTAATTTTCAAATAACATTTATAATTTTTTTTTAAACTAAATTTGTTTTTATTTATTGATACAATAAATTGCATTAATAGGAGATTTAATTTCCTTTTCCATAAAAACAAAAATACTTCTTTAAGATACATTTGAATGTTGATAAATTATGCATAGTTAGTATATTTTGGTAATTTGAAAAGCATGTTCAGCTAGTCAATGCCAGATCAAAGTACATATTATTATAATTACAGCAAATGAAAAGAAAATATCACTATTTTAACCTTGGTTACCTTTAAAAAAATGTAAAAATAAAAAAAGTAGAAACAAATGGAAAATTGGCAATAAGAGTACTGTATTAGTCATTCTTTAATCTTATGATAAATCAAATGCCAAGGTCTTATACTGTCACATGATATGATACTGTTTTTAGATACCATCATTAAGATCTAAACTAATTATCATCATCACTCTCAACACACTTTTCATACATAATCATCTTTTATTCTTTACAAAAATTACTGTATATCAGACTTACGCATGGCCATCGAATTCCGTAGATTTCTTGTAAGAAACTTTTACTTCTTTCTGAGGGAAAAGAACAGGAAAATTTTCAATGTAACAGTTTGCATATATATATTTAATAATAATAGTCTTTTCATTAGCAGCATATTTCAATACACAAATGGCCAACAACACTATATTCAAAAGTGCAATACAAAATAATAAATCAGATGCAGGTGTATCATAGGCTTTTGGGGAAGGGGGAAGGTGGTAGTGCACAGGTGGTTTTCTTTGGAAACTGTTTAAAATTAATATTCAACCTGTCCTATGAGGTTTAGTTTATTTGGATTATTTAAAGTTCTGAATAATGTTTTACCGGTGACAATAACAATTTCCATATAAACCAAGTGCCAACACAAACACAAGAATGTAGTTATGGTGGGCGGAGCCTTGAAGCTTTCCACCAACTCAAAACTAATTTCACCTACCTTTATTAACCCCTTGCCGATCCTTAAAGTCCACTCTAATTATTACAGTCGGAAGTTTACCAATGTTATTATCTACCTACCCACATAATATCTAACACCAACCCTTAGTTTTCTATTTCTATAGTTACAAACAACCCTGCTAACAGACTTTTATGAATAGCATTAAACATTATTCATGTCATAATGCTTAAGAACCCATTCAGAATTTTTTTTCTATGTAATCACAAACAATAGGGAAAAGTCATGACGTCACGATTCCTAGCTACCAGTTTCGCGGTGGCCAAACAAACCTTGATCGGCCATGTTGTTGCATTCTAGTGCACAGCTGTAGTACCTATTAATATTAGAATTTCTGTAACTTATATTTTCCCGTTTGATTTCGGAAAGGCACTGAAAATAAATAATCTATTTATCATATATCGTAAGTTCACCTTTATTTTTGAATCATAAGTTATAAAAATTAGCATTTTAAAATCTTCCAGAGCGTAGGCCTAAGCATCGGTTCACCGCCGTACACGTACGTCGTTAAATCCTTTGTTTGTAGAAGAAATGTACGATACGATATCCAAGAGTAATATTACTTTTAAAGTTAGTTACTATGTGATTCATTGTTGTTAGATTAAGTGATTTTCAAGTTTGCATAATGGTAAATACCACACCATTCTTAACTCTACTGCAGCCAAAGTATAGAGGCATAGGCCCCGCTTGTAGACTTGTATTTCAGTGAGTATCCCCGTTCGGGTCGGTGGTGGGTGCTAGCCCAAATGTTCATTATATAGGCCTAGCTATTAAAGTAGGACTTGGCGGTCTAGCTAGCCTAGATAGCTGTAGCCTTTATGTAGTATTAATTTTAATCTCTTATATTTTTCCTGCAGATAGAATCGGCAGTCAGCTAAGGGACAGTGTTCAGAAAATTCATAGATAATTTCCACTGTTATTTGATATATAATTTCAGTAATGTGCTTTTGTTATACACATATTTTAATTATCATTTGTAATTGATTTAAATATATAAATAATAATAATAATGGAACACTTGACCCAATCAAGCAAATATCAAATTCTTGCGAACTTGAAAGTACAGATATAAAAAAAGAAATGTCAGTAATGTGCTCATTTTTACTTTACAAAAATGATGTTTATAGTTAATTGCCACATGCCATTATCAAGCAATATTAACTTCCTGTATCTTGCAACTGCTGAACTGTAGACGTTAATACTTTACAGCGTATGTATAATGTTTGTGAAAATTAACCTCAGCATGTACTGTATTATATTTTTAAAGTGTAAAAATAAATACATTTTATTTACAAACAAGTTCATGAATTGTCTGCAATCCTTTTAATCTTAGTGCATATGCAATCACATCATATAAATAATGGTAATGTTAATATGCTCATTGCCACTCACCATGATCAAGCAATATCAACTCACTCCGTCCTGCGACTGCAGAAGGTATACAATACAGACACTAATTCAGTATTTAGAATAATTTACAAATTCCATAGTTTATTTAACTTTGTTCATCATTTAATGTATGTGCCAGACTGGGTTGGCTTAATTTTATTATAAATAAGAAATTAACAAGTTCACTTAAACACTCCTTTAGGCAGAGGAATAATTTTATTTTTTAAAAAAAGTACTAACGTAACGTTAATCTGAATCGGCTTTATCCATCCTTTTGATAAACTTGAGTGTACTGTAATCCAGGCCTCTTCTAGCGGGGTCTAGGCCTCTAGACTTTGGCTTCAGTAGAGTTATGAATGGCATGGTATTTACCATTTATGTTGACTTGAAAGTTACTAACAACAATAAATTAAATAACTAACTTTAAAAGTAATATTGCTCATGGATATCGTCTTGTACATTTCTTCTACAAAAAAGTGATTTAATGACGTATATGTCGGCGGTGTACTGACACCTAGACCTACGCTCTGGAAGATATTAAATTGCTTATTTTTATATTGTAACTTATGATTCAAAAATGAAGGTGAAGTTACGATATATGGTAAATAGATTATTTAATATTAGTGCCTTTCCAAAATAAAACGGGATGATGCAATATATAAGTTACGGAAATACTACAAAACTCAGTGCACTAGGTTTGGCCTAGCAAAACTGGTAACGAGGAAACGTGACATTACACTTTTTCTCCCTATACAACAGCAACAAAAGCCAAAAATATAGAAATATTGATGATAATGATGAGGATGATATTGATAATGACAACAATGATGATATTCATGACAGTACTACCACAATAATAATGGTAATGGCTAATGATGTATAACGGGATAGTAATTAATTGACAATAATCATATTATACAGTAGAAGAGTTTCACAGCTATAATAAGCAAATCAGATAAAAATATTTGAATATAACATTATACATTTTTACAATAACATATACATTTTTTAAGTTAGCTCCAAGTGTATCTTATAATAAAGATAACAATACAGGGTTTTTGTAGACTATTGTTTAATATAATGTGTATTTCTCTGTTGCAAGTGCAAAGTAATATAAAAAGTTAAATGTACTATTAATTAGACTACAGTATATAGAAACCACCTAGGGAGTTGTTTCACTTGTAGATTCACTACAGTGCATTTTATTAAAGACTCTTATATAGCACATACACCAGACAGTGGCGAATCCAAAGGGAGTTTTTAGAAAGATTTTTAAATCAAATTTTAAAAATTTCCAATAATGTACTTAGAGATTTTGAAATGAAAATTACGCCCAATCCCCCTTGATTTTAAAATCCTTGATCTTACTGTACAGACCTAAAAAACATATGCTGCACAGTACACGCATGGAATTCCAAACAGGCTTCCATAAGAGCTATACATCAAACTTGATGTCGGCTTCATGCCAATAAAATCTTGTTTTTTAACGAGGAAATTGCGAAAGCTAGGCTGTGAAGAATCAAAAGTCACGTCAGACATAAGTGCCCACGGACTTCTTAATTACGAAATAGCCAACTATATCCTTCAATGGTTTCTATTGATCTTGTTAAAGCGGGATTGTTACAACCTGTTGTTTAAATCAAGAGTTACTATTGGAGGCTAGTCACTTTACTTCATCAAAACAACAACTGAGAGGCTCAGGATATTTATGTTTTTATTAGGCATTAAAGAATTCATTATTTAAAAGGATAGACGACGTGAGAAAGCAAATTTAATATGCAGTTGTGGCTTAAATTGTCACTCCAGTGCAATTGAAATTGGCAAATTAAAAAGTTGATATCACTACATCAATTTTAATAATATTTAATGATAATTGAAAATGGATACGCAAGTATTAACAAAGGGAGTTACAGTACCATAGTGAGAGATGAAAACTTTTCAAATTAACAACCTGAGTGTGAGAAAAATAGTGGTGGTAATGATGATGATTATGATTATGACTACTGTATGATATTGAGATAGTAATCATTACAATGTTTAATCTTTAACCAATAAGCCTGACATATATTTGCTCTATATCTTTTCTTGTTGCACGTATGCCTACAGTGTTAAACATAAATCCAGGAGATGGGGTTTAATAAAGGTTATGATACAGTAGTTTTCCCTTTTCAAGAGTGATTTAACTAACTAATCAGCTAAAAGCAGTGAGTATGTGGTCCAAAATCACCTTGATTTTAACAGTGACGATTAAATGTGTTTTTGTGCATGTTGTAATGTTTGTTGTCTTCAAAGGGTTTTTGCATTTTGCAATATAATATATCTATAGTCCATTATACGACTAAACTTTGCCGTAAAAAAGACGAAGCGAGCTTATATTTTCTTAATTTAGAACAACTACAGAACTCAGTAAAGCATTTTTATTTAGATTAACGATGATGAATACTCCCCTGAAGAACACGGAATCTTGACATGTAAGCCTAGCTAGTACTAGGATTTGAGGCAAAAGTGCGCCTACGTAAGCTGCATAGCCGAGGCTTACTGTACAAACATGATGGAAAAATGCATGTTTCTCCTAATTATTTATTGCTAAAACTTTTGGATCACTAATCTTCGTAAAAAATACATTAAAATAGTAATAATAAACTACAATAACAACATAAAAAATATATATTAAAAGGAATACATGTACTGTACTAACTTGCCAATCTGATGAATATCAATGACAATTGAGAATACACTATACTTGTAGAAAAACAAACAGCACTTAAAGTCAGGCTCTGGAGGGAAAAAATTATTTGATATGTTGTAGAACTGATTTTTCTAAGAAAAAAAGTTGTTTGACAAAAAACTGGGGAACGGTGAATGAGATACAGATTTTTAAATATTTAAAAACTGGGGGAAAAGGGGCGTAACTGCCCATTTTTACACCTTATTCCCCCAGTTTTAAATATTAAAAATCTGTATCTCATTCACCGTTCCCCAGTTTTTCGTCAAACACCTTTTTTCTGTCTTGGAAAAATCAGTTCTCCAACATATCAAAAAAATTTTTTCCTCCGGAGTCTGACTTTAAGAAGTTTAGTAGCAAAAAACAGACATTAACCCAAAAAGCTTGCACCCTTAAGCCTGGTTTTGATACAATAAATATGCGATGCCACTGTTTTCATTGCAATTGTAATAATGCATAGTTATCCCCGAAAAAAATTGGGAGGACTTGGGGAGGTTCCCCAATTTGACTAACCAATCAGCGAAGGCTGTTGGCAATAACATGCAGTGAATTTTGGGAAGCTAGGCTATAGCAGTAACACCTCCCAATTACGAACCCCTCCGTCTCAACAGAGTTCGTAATTGAGAAAATTTGTAATTAAGAGAGTTCAAAGTTTCATAGCATCTCAGTGTAGTGAGGGTAGGCCTAGGCCTATGACAAATTACAGGGCTAGGTAAACCTAAGCCTTGCCAAGGGAGAAAAATTTTTTCACGAATAATTACTTGGATTTTACAGAAGTTTAATTACCTGTGCTCACTGTATTCATTTGAAGTGATTTCCAAATGAAAACATGACCAAATAATGGCCAAAACGAGTGTTATTTTGGTCTTTAAAAAAATCGTGAATCTATGTGAATAGTGCCCTCAATTAACAAAAAGTGCGATTTTTACTGTACAGTATGCCTGAACAAGCATGCACGGCTGAAAATGATCGATATTTCTTGCTTTAAACTTAGTTTTATGTCACTTTATTGGTTTAAATGTTTTCCTTCTTAGCTGATATAACATTTTAAATTATTTTTGAAGACTTTCAAATAAATTTTAAGTGTTTTTATAGTTAAAAACAATCGTTGATAATGACATCATCGAAAAAATCGAGAGTTCGTAATTGGGAGATATTACTGTATACCAACATCAGAATAAGGGATATGATATTAATAAAATTAATAATAATAATAATAATAATAATAGTGAACTTATTTATATAGCGTAAAATACCTTGATGCGCTTTTATAGCAGGGAGTGGGATAAATTATTTAAAGTTTCACCTAATTATTAAAACAAAAATGAATATCAACTATATCAACATTGTTAATTGATAAATTAATACAGTTTACCCTCCAATTCGAGACCATCTTTCGGACCTGAAAAATTGGGGTGGTCTTGGGGTTGGTCTCCAGTTAGAGGGCTAGCTTTGTGTTAAAAGGTTGAAGATTGTTATTTTGGTCTTTGGAAAAGTGATCTCGAATTGGAGGGTCTCGGAATTAAAGGGTACACCGTATTGTTAACAAAAGTCCTGGAAAATTAGAAAAAAAGTCAAGTTGAGAAAAAACATCTTTCCTATTGAGTTTCCAGATGCAAAAATCACTCAGAATACCACAGAACAACTTGCTGCTAGTTTCAATCCCAGTTCGTGGTCTAGTGGTTACAATACCAGATTAGCTGTCTGGAGGTCGTGGGTTTGGTTTCCACCTGATTTCATGCAAGTGCAAATAATCATTCCTACTGAATTTCCTGATGAACGCATCACTCAAAATATTATTAAAGTATCTGTTCCTACTTGGGTATTAATTTGTGAGGTCTCACCACGAAATGAGACGCATCATTGGTGAAATCATATTGAGATATTCACAAAAAATAGGTCAAAGGCAACATTTTTACAAAATTTTTATTTTAATGTTTTTTAATAACTTGATACTTATATTTTATGATTGTGTACTTTTTAAGTGAATTTTCTTACTAAAACAGTCTTCTCTTTGCATATTCTGTAATTCTAGTCCTATTATTTGTACAGGTTAGTTTATCTTTGAGGCCGATTTTCTCAAAACTTGGTTCTTATACTCGTAAACTTTAATAAATCTCTGGATCTATTTATCATAGGGAAGCCATTCAAAGACCAAATTAAAGCTTATGATGTGATCTACCAAAATGTAATATAAACTCATTTTTTGATTTTCTAATGATGAGACTCATTTTGTAGTGAGACCTCGCATATCGTAGCCACTAGCTCTGTGGTCTAGGTTTATGATACCGGGCTAGTATCAGAAGAATAGGAACACACCATGTTGAGCAACGCATCATTCTAGGTGATATTTTTAATGCAAACATCATTAAGATAATTTAAAAAAAATACTTTGGTGTCATAAACAAGTTGGATAAATATTTTCAGGTTAAATTTCACATACTCACCCGTGTGAGATCTGCCGAATCCTTCTGTGTTTTGCAATTAAAAAATTAAAAAAAGAATCTTAAAATACAAAGAATTTATCCACTCTCGTATTACACTATTATGAACCCTTAAGAAATAAAATTTAAAAAATCTTACAATACAAAAAAATTACCCATTTCTATGTATGACATTATACAAACTTTTCAATGTTTTGGACAACGTGAACACAATATTGCAGCGATGTTTGCAACTTTATTTAGTAAGAAATTACTTTATACCATACAGTAATTATGGTGCTACAAAAAATGTTTTCAACACTAAACAAAGACAATTAACACATCACAAGATGTTTTTCAAAAAGTTGACTTGCAAAATTTTAATTAAAGTTTAAACAAAATATAATTACATCTGTTTTAGCTAATATGTTTGAACTAATCAAAATTAAATATTTTATTTGATTATTTATATTGAGTTTAAAAATTAGCTTTTCAAATGAGAAATTAGAATAAAAAAAATTTTCTCCCTAATTATCAAATGCATAAATAAATTACTTATTATATTTTTGGCATTCTGTACTCTATACTTACAATATATTGGCTGGGCATTAAAAAAACTCATTTTTTAATATGTCTTACTTTTTCAATGTCATTCCAATTAATAATTAACATAATTCAAAAGAAATCAAATAATTCATTATTTTTATATCAGTAAGAAATTAAATGAAAATATTTTTAACTTGGATTACGAAAACCCCAATTTTTATTTATAAGATTAACAAAAAAATTATTTTTATATTACTAATATTTACTATAACATTACACAAGTACAAAGCATACAAAAATGTTTTGAACTAACTAGTCTTCCCACAACAGAAAATTATGAAAAGAAACAAGCTTAATGTTGTAGTTTATTTGACCATGCTGTGAAAGTGGTAACATTATGAGACCCACAGGACAAAATCACAACCATAAAAAATCAATTTTACAGCCTCCAAGCATGAACAATCCCAAGGGAAGGTGTTGAGTTGTGTTAGATTTTCCTAGGGTATCTAAATAATTAAAAATAATTTCAACAAAATAAAAAAAATTTAGTTACCATTTATTATGATTTAGAAGCAAAAAAATCTCTCCTACCATGCAGGTAAAATATTTATTGCAACTCAATGACATTGTTGTATATGTAATGTTATTCCCAAAAACTAAATTGAAAATCAATAATAATAAAATCATACTCACAGACACTTTTGCTTCTTTCCACTCAGTTGATTTATAAAGTTTCCAAACTCGTTCAGAAACATCGTTAGATTCTGCAGTATAATCTACCCCCATCTTAGATGTCGATCTTGTATTTTCTGTACACCCAGCAACGGCGCTCAATACACCACCACCAACCAACACACATGTAATGGTACTGCCGATAGTTCGTAACACACTGCTTCTCATAATGCTTCTCAATCGATTCTTGTTTCAAAGCGCCTCGCTTGTCATCTATTTGTTAACAAAACGCTATAAATATGTATCTGAAATTACACCAGACAGCTGGTGATTGAATCGCTAACTCAGGTCATGCAGTAGGATTCCTTGACAAGCCGTAGGCATACAGTTACGTGATTCATCATGACGAAACATTAAGCATCCGCTCAAAACGTCACCATCAGCGCCAAATTCAAAAGTTAGGCCTCTGTGGGAGAAATGAACCCAAGACAGCCTGGTTGGGTCATCCAGTCCAGCTATGTTTTCAGATTACTATACATCACCCTAGAAGTATACTTACGTAGGTGATCGCCTAATAAATCAATCGGCCTATTTCAAAATATAAATGTTCCAAGCTATTGACTATCTGGTTGGTTACAGCCTGGTAGACTCATACTAGGCCTACATACCATACCACCACCACCTGTACTGTAAAGCATAACAAAAAAAAAAAAACAGATGGCGCTCTTCATAAATTTAAAGACTAAAGATTTGAATTACAGTAGTAATGTGACCTACACATATTATACTCATGTAAGATATGCTTTCAAATAAACATTATAATGAAAACAAAACGTCCTCGTAAATTAATAACGGACGCAGGCCCGTGTCTAAAGGGAAAGTGACCGTGGGCGTACTACGAAATCAAAGTACATTTTCAAGACAGTCGAAAAATGTACTGAATATATATTTTTGTGTAATAAAACTTAAATAGTAATCTTAATTCTTTAAATTTTAACCAGTAATAATCTATTGGAACCCTTACAAAATACCAAAGGTTTGATCCAAACTGGTCTTCCCCTTCTTGACGCTGCCAGGTGTTATAGGCGACCACCATACCCCAGTTGGTCCATTTTTGCTCACCAATGCACCACGCACCCCAAAAAATTGGTAACACTGGCTAGGCCCTGGGACGTATAAATCAGGGGAGAAGGGGGGGGGGGCGTGGCGGGCCTTCCCCCTTTGGAAAGTAAAATAAAAAAAAGAAGAAAGAAAAAAAGAAAGAAAGAAAGAAAGAAAGAAAGAAAGAAAGAAAGAAAAATAAAAATATTGATTGCCTAAAACGCATCAGATGTTATTTTTTGGTGTTTAGAAAACAACAAATTTTGCGGGTGCATGCCCCAGAACACATTAGGGTGTGTTATCGTTATCTCGATCGGCCCCACTTTCTTCTCCCCTTTAAATCCCTACTCCCCCACCCCCCACCCTTTTCGGACATCTCTGGAACCGCCCCTTTAAATAATCCTGTATTTGTATACTGTACCTTTACTATTTTACATTGTATTTAAAGGACCTAAAAGTCATTCGATGAATAGTTTTTTCAATAAAGCGAAGGCCAAATGGCAACAATGGGCCATTTTGAAACAGGGGCGACCCCAATTGGTACTATGTCATTTCACCGAATGCCAGTTTTCAGGCGGACTGTGGCCGACTGACAGTTGACCGAAAGAACATTCACCGACACCGGAATTCGCCGACAGGTCGTTTCGACGACAATCTGTTCGCCGACAGCCAATTCACCGACACCAAATTCGCCGACAGACATTCCGCCAATTTTTTTTTTTCATTGATGTTTCGTCGACAAATATTGTTTTGTTAAGGACTTGTAGTCATCATGGAAAATCGTTATTTATTTATACATACATACATGCTCCTTTAATATATAAATCATGCAATTAAAATTCTGCTAAAAATATTGAATACCGTACAGGCTTATAATAAACTCATGTTCATCTTTATTTTTTATTAAATAATTTAGTAATCTTGAAAATTATGAGAGACTGTAATAATTAACACAATATAAAGGGCAATTTTTTAAAATGGTGCAAATTGAGATAAAAAGAAAGACAAGATACAAGATGGTGACGTTATTGCAAATTTAAGAAAAAATTGAAATGCACAATATGCTTTAAAGTAATAATATTTAAAAATGTTTAAAATACACCAGAATACGACGTATTACAAAACAGTAAGTTAAAATATACAAGTGGGGGGAAGGGAACAAATTACAATATTAATTAGTCGGTATCTTTTATTCATTCACATATAAAATAGCAGTTCAGGCTGAATTACAATTTGAATGTACTGTTTAAATTACTGTTTATATACAATTATAAAATGACAAATAAAAAAAATAAGGAAATGTACGAACATAAAAATACATGATTTTAAAATTAAGAAAATAATATATATGTCACGTCATATAAATACTGTCTGAAACGTTTTTCTGAGTTGGGGGTGGGTCCTTGTTCTGACTGTATTCAATGAACTCTCTAGGAGTTGGAACGTTGTAGTTGATAAGCATATTTTATTATGTGAAACAAAACAAAAATAAAGCGACATGTATACTGACAAAAGCATGCCTTAATAAAGAAGAGTATAGGATTTCGAATATTTTCAATTCTCAATTCAATTGCTTTGCAGACTGCTTTGAAGACGAATCAGAATGCATTGCTAGCTGCCCTGACGCAATCGGGAAAGCACCCCGATTCGTCTGCAATGCAATCGGCAAAGTTCAACCTTCCCGACAAAACTGTTGGCGACTGTCTCCGATAGGGTGAGCGATTCTATAGTAGAAACCGAACTTTACCAACCAATCGAAAAACGCCTAAGATTGGTAGTCTATTAGTTCAGGTAAATATATGACATGGCAGAGAGTGTGCAGAGGGGTGCGGACACACCACCCAAATTTCAGGAGATCCACTTTCTTAAACCTTTACTAATTCACTAAAATCGTTTTTAAATCGCGAAATGTATGCATCATTGCAGTCCATTTACCAGCTCTTCTAGCCGTTGATTTTTAATTTGTTGGAAATTGATCAGCTTCGGTGACTGCAGACTAATTCATATAAGCAAAAAGATATGATATAATCTAGATCCTTTTATTGAATTGCCCCATGTGAGATGAATAAAGATTGTATCGTAATGCCTACATTGGCGGATCCAGAAATTTTAAATACAAGGGGCTCAGGGAGGGACATTCACAGATGGATCTACACCACCTCAGCACCACCATGATTGGGGGTTGAGGTAGGAAAATTAATGATTATGGCACCTGATGGCATTCTCAGAATTATATTTAAATATAATTTTCTTTTTTTCTCAATTGTTTTTTTTTTTATTTTGAAAAATTTATGGGGTCCGGAACGGGTGGGCCCCTGTCCGCCACTGCCCACAGTGATGCACATTAAACGTTACTTTTCGGGTGCCTAATCACACCCAAATGAATGGAAAGTTTAATAGAATTTTCATGAATTATGGGATTCAGAAATCTATTAAATACGGTAAATCTAAGGTGCTTCACTCGCAAGTGCACCCCCTCCACCTGCATCACAAATCCTGGCTACAGGCCTGCAATAATGGATAAAACTATATTTTTGAAATTCAATAAAACCGTCAGTTTTCAACAAAATCTAATTTTGCGCGACGATTGAAATTAGCCTGGTGGTGGTACCAGTTGCGGCGGCAGGACCGGCCCCCATCATAAAGAGCTCCCACCGCGCTGGAATCAACACAATTCGTTAGGGATAACGAAAAAAATCATATTCAAGTTTTACAGAATATGAGGTTGTACGATTGATTACGGGCCTTAGCAATACGGTACAGTTCTAAAAAGTTCTAATTTGTCAGAGCTTCATGGGAACATCGCCCC